TTGAAATAAAGGCATTTAGTGCTCTAAATATTCTTTTAAGGGCTCTAGCAAACTGTGATAGGTTTGATTTATAATTTTCTTTGGTTTCTTTTCAATGAAAAATTTGATTACTTTTTCTATATATTCTATAGTTGCTTTTATTTTTTCCATTTTTTTGTAATTTGGTTATTGTTTATTTTTTCTATTTTTCAGCTGTTCATTTTTTTTATTTTACTGCTTATGGTTAGAGAAAAGTTTACATGATTTATCCTTTTTTTTGTAATTTATTTGTTTTCTCTAAGGTCCAATTAATTGACATTTTCCCTAAATGGTTCTGTGTTTGCAACTATGAATTCTATTTGTTGAGTACATATTTCTCTCACTCTATCTATAATCAATTTTGTTAATTTTACTATTAAGTATTTCTATATTATTACATATTTTGTTGAGGTTCCTGACGTTTAAATGATCCTTAGCTATGTCACAGGGTGTGGGCTGCCCAGGAGGGACTATCGGAGAACACCAAATACAAGCTGACCATGTGGTTTAATTCCAAATTATACTAGAACAGATGTGGAGGCTGTGTTTGTTCGAGGAGTAATTGCAGAACACACAAGTCTAAAGGTAAGATTAACCTGTAAGGGCAATAGCACAGGAAATGAAAATAAAGCACTCCACTTTAGCAGGCAGACGACAGGGCAGTGGTTCCTGGCATGGGCACCGCTGGCTCTGTGGGCGCATGGCGCGACAGTGGCACCATGTGTGCACGTTAGTGGCAGCGTGGGTGCGTGGCATGGCAGTGGCACCGTGGGTGTGCGGCAGTGGCACTGTGGGTGAGCGGCACGGCAGTGGCACCGTGGATATGTGGCATGGCAGTGGCACCGTGGGTACGTGGTGGTGGCGCCGTGGGTATGTGGTGGTGGCGGCACCATGGGTGTGTGGCAGTGGCACTGTGGGTGTGTGGCAGTGGCACCGTGGGTGTGTGGTGTGGTGGTGGCACCGTGGGTGTGTGGCGGTGGCACCGTGGGTGTGTGGTGTGGTGGTGGCACCGTGGGTGTGTGGCGGTGGCACCGTGGGTGTGTGGCGGTGGCACCGTGGGTGTGTGGTGTGGTGGTGGCACCGTGGGTGTATGGCGGTGGCACTGTGGGTGTGTGGTGCAGCAGTGGCACTGTGGGTGTGTGGTGTGGCGGTGGCACCGTGGGTGTGTGGCGGTGGCACTGTGGGTGTGTGGTGCAGCAGTGGCACTGGTCAAGTCACAGTGTACAGGGTTATATTTGTAGAGTATCTAACTTCATCTTGTCTGCCCCAGTTAAACTTTCTGATATCTCCTCATGAACAATTACTAATGTTTCCATAAAAAGTTCTTTTTAGCATTTTTATATTAAATATTCAATCCATTTCTATATAAGTATATACATGATTTGGTCAATGCAAAAGCTCACAGATTGAAAAAACTATAGACAATTAAAACATTTTCCCTTTGCCATAATATTTACCTTAATGGGCTTGATAAAGGAAGATCCTTTAACTGTTGCAAGTATGACTTGAGATTCCTCCAACTGAGACAACAAGTCATCCAGAGACGAAATGATCAGGACAGAGCCATTCTCAGTGTGATGAAGAACTAGATGTAAAGGAGTCGTGTTCCAAAGGTCAATAATCTTAAAGAGCATTTTTTCAAGAGCAGTTTCATGAGTCGCTGAGATTGATATTTCATTTATTTCACTTTCATACTGATACATCTAAAATGGAAAATTATTTTTAATATCCAGTGAAGCAAGTAATTCTTGATACATTTAAAATGGAAGATTTAAATGGACATGTTGAAGGTACGTCAGAAATACTGAAGATCTGATTCCAGGGAGGTTTACATTCTAACCCCTGACTTCATGGCTGAACCTTCATGACATGGCCCTTTGGAGTTTTGAATCATCCTATTTCGCAGTGAAAATTCTAACCACAATGTTTATTACCTCTGATTCCAGTCCAGTGTAAAGAATAGTTAACAGCACCTTCTGTATATGTGCAGATGGTATTAATTCCTTCAACTTTCTTTTCTCTGCACCAATGTCAATGGTTTAATTACTTTGTGACATACTTTTACTTTCTATAATAGTTCTTAGGATTGCCCGGCTGGTGTGGCTCACTGGTTGAGCTTCGACCCCTGGACCAAGAGGTCGCCAGTTTGATTCCCAGTCAGGGCACATGCCCAGGTTGTGAACTCGATCCCCAGTAGGGGGCATGCAGGAGGCGTCAATCGATGTTCTCTCTCATTAATGTTTCTCTCTCCCCATCTCGCTTCCTCTCTCTCTGAAATCAATTTAAAAAAAGAAAAAAAATAATTCTTAGGATATAATCATCTGAGAGAATGTAACTCTAATGGACTCAACCTTCCATGGCTTCCCCTTCTTTGCCATATCTCTTCATGAGGAAAGGTGTTTCTCAAATACATTATGGAAGTTTAGATAGATCTTCTTTCCAAATCCCCTGACTGCCAATTCCCATAGGACAAGATCCTGATATAAGATCCCTGGACTCCCGCACCTGATAGAGATACTTGGAGAGCTTCTTATCTCCGCATTTCAGGGTTAACTAGCTGGGCTGAATCTACTACTGTTCTCATATGTCATTTCCATGGGGTGAAAGAATGACACCTACTGCCTATGTTTTGTTACTGCAGCTCTAGTGGGGACTGAACAACACGACTACTTTTCATCATCTCTCTTATGGGTCTGTCAAAGATGGGTGTAAGAATGGTGGGATCAGTTAACTGATTAAGGCCTTAAGTAACAGCTTTGGGAGAGAGGCTTGCCCTTTGACACAGATTACTCAGCTAAAGGCAGACAGGAAAACACAGGACCTCAAGTTTCCTGAAGAAAGAACTCAGTGCCTAATGCTGCCATTCTGAAGTTGCTAAGTACTGCTAAATTCAGACACTGATCATGTAAAAAGCAAAAGTTCAACCAAGTGCATCTAGTCCTTTCTTTATGGTCCTTTCTTTATGGTCAAAGTTTGGGACCTGACCAACAAATGGTCAGATCTCCCAAAAGACTTGGTAATATTTAGTAAGTTTCAGATGAATCCTAACACCTATAATAATTAGTGCCTCCATTATAAAGCACATGGCTTTCTAAAGTGAAAATGATCCACCATAAAGTAATTGTGTTCATCTCGTACATGACCTCTTCCACTTTACTTCGTGACATGCTTTTCATGTCACAGGCTTTTCAAAACCTGCCTAACACCTTGGACAGAATGGTTGCTATATAACCCCAACATTTATTCACTTAATAGAATCACCAAATGAACTTCTATCATAGCCTGTCCTGGACAGTCTTATAGCAGGACCACCTCTGGGTCAACCCCAAGATACACAGTATAGTTTAGTAAATGAAGGTTGAGTTTCTGGGCCAAATCCTGTCCGTCTAGGCACTTACATTACACAGGATAAATAGTTGTATTTCTACAGGATGATCAAAATCATTCAGCAACTCTTAGAGTTCATTAAGATTGCCAATGGATTGTTTATCTTCTCTATTATAATAATTAACCTCAAGAAGAAAGGGTCCCTCTGACTCCTGGCTACGGTATTTCAGAGGCTGAAAATCTTACTCATTTTTGTTCAGAAGTCAAATTATATTAATTTGATCCTCCAAGAACGGTGTTGTACTTCCTTTATACACTATCTGTTCATGTGAGAAATATAATGATAGTCCACTGGAACCCTTGAAGGTATTGTAGGTCACCAACCCTATGTAGGCCACCAGCTGACCACCTCGAGGCCTATCTATCCTCATTTTTATTGCTTGCTGTTGTACTTCCTGCCAAATTTCAGCCTTTACCTTATTTGCCCAGGAATGATGCCAATCACCCAAGGCTTTGAAAATGAAAATATCATTGAAATTGTGCTAGATTTTTAGAATGCTGGTTTGAATAAACTTAGCTGTTGGTACTGACCTATATGTTCTGAAATTAGCTAGATAGTTTGCTGAATTCACTCTTAGCACACAGATCAGTTAGGAAGCTCTCATAATGATCCAGGGAAAAATGAGCTATTTAGATGAGGGATGAAGAATAAGAGAGTAAGAGAAAATTCAATAATTATTCCATAATTTTTATCTTAAGCAGTTGGGAAAAAAATGGAGATGCCATTATTGAGATGGGGAAGAGCGAGGAACAGAAACTGGGAGATGAAGAATGAGAAGTGAATTTTTAAGTGAGATATGTTCGTTTTGACATAGCTCTTAGACGTGTAAGTAGAGATACTGAGCAGAAAATTAGATATGTGAATTTAGGAGGGAGACAGGTTAGGGCTAGAAATATAAAATAATCGAATTTTAAGTATCAATTAATGTTGTCTTTTAAAATGAAATTTTTTTTAAATTTTTTTATCCCCCCTCCCACTTCCTCATTACAACAAACCACTTAGTAGAATATTATATATATAAAATACTGTTACTGATTTCATTGGACACTGTCAACACTGAAACATGAAACATCAATGAAGCTTATTGTTAAGCTAGGCACAAAAACAGAAAAACTTTTAACCATAAAAATCATGTTGTTGGTTTTTTTTTTTATAACAAAACCTACATTGTATATCAAATAGTTGCTAATTGTGTATTTAAAATAGAATATTAAGTTATTGGCAGGGCTATCCTAAAATGCTGTTAATTTCTTTTCATTTTCTATAAAATATAGTATTTTGATTTTTCTATTCCTATCAAATATATCCTCTCTATATTAAAACACTATAACTAATAAAACACTATTTCATTTGTTACACATGAAAGCCAGTATTCTGATCGCCTATGTAGATAAAGTGGCAGAGTGAAGGGCTTAACCAATATGGCCACTTAAACAGAACTGCCTATCACCTGTCACCTACTAACACTCCCACTTCCCCACACGGTCTACGGATTGCTCCCTTTTCTAATTTCTATACCCTGTAGATATACTGGCTCCCTTAAAATCGGCCCCTCTGGGATTTCAACCTATTTTTTCACACTACTTTTCCTTACCTTGAACATTAGAAGATTCTCTACTGTACAGTTTTTATCCAGAGAAACGGACTTTCCAATAATCTCCTGCAGAGCCGCCCAGTGCCTCGGCTTGAGACAGGGGTTGCCCAGGGCTGTGATGATGGGCAGCTCTTGTTTGAAACTGGTCACTGACTGCTTCAGGTACATCACCATGTTGTTTCTCGGCAAACCTGTAAACGGCAATGGGTCAGCAGGCTTATGGGATGTTCATCATATTTTTATATCAAATTTAGCTGATCAGTTATTAGTCTGCACTAAAATAATGAGTTTTATGCATATCACCCTCCCATAAGAATGAACTATGAATTAAAGAGAAACCGTTACCAGGACCGGAGATTAAAACCCTAGGCCATCAGAGACAAGTTACCTTGTCAAATTTGACACTAGGCAAGCCAGCTGCCATGAGGTTCCCAGACTGTCACTGACACGACAGACATACAGACAGACAGGTACACACATATGCATTCAAAAGACTGTAATAGGATTGGGGCTTTTAAATTCTGCTCAGGAAGGAACATTATGGGGAAAAAAAAGTAACTATTATTTCATGAAAAAATTATTTTAATGCTGAACTGTAGGAAATGTAGGTAAGCACTTTGAAACAGACCCCCACCGGTCTGTCCTCTGGCCCCAACAAATCACTGGGACACAGGGCTCAAACTTGTGCAGGTAAAGGTTCAACCCTCAGAACCTTTTTACTCAACCTTACAAGAACAGGGAGGGGGCAGAGAAACAGGCAAAGTTGGGGACTTAGGAGAACTGAAAACTATACCCATATTCTTCAATATCCAATGTGTTCAGATGGGGCTTTTAAAAAAATAAAGCCATGTTAAATAACAAAATGTGTTTCAAGACCTGGTTAAATAAAAGGACAAGAAAATTACTTTGGTTTTTGAAAGTCTATAGTTTGGCAAACAGCAAGATTTTATCTGGGAAACAATGGATTAACTGAGATGTTGTCTACTTGTTACTTTATATCTTGTTCTCTGAACATACATGGCCACATACTGAGCGGGATGTGAGATGACAGGTGATTTGCTCCCGATTTTTCTCTTCACTAAATTCTTATGATAGTTATATTTTTTTGTATAAGTTAAAAACAAACAATTTAAAATGTTTTTCAGGAGTATAGCTGAGAGCTAAGGGAAACATTCAGAAAGCAAAAAGCATTCCCTTCCCAGCTGAAAGAAAACGTTCCTTGCGGAAAGGGTGCGACGTTACAGGAACAGGGTCCCCGAACGGACAAGATCCTCGAATGTGATGCCTGGCAGAAGGGAGACCCCTCAAAGCGGCTCTCAGGGCTTCCCCAGGCCCAGAGAACGGGGCGAGCGTGCGCAGTGAGGCCGCGGTGCAGGCGGGAAGGGCCCTTGTCACACCTCTGGCCGAGGAAGAGCCAGGATCATGGGGAAGTGTTTGGGCTTCTATCCGGGGAACTTTGAAAGGCTACACACATTGTTATGAATGATTTTCTAAACTCTGGAGGTGGGGGCAAAGTTTTCATCTCTTTTTTGCTTCAGGAAACAGTCCTACCTATACTCCTGCCCTGTCTCCCCAGCCGCTGATGGTCGGCCCTTGGGAACAGGTAGAGGTACAGTGATCTTGCTGACCCCGAGGGCACCGTGTGTGTAGTCCTCCAGGGAAAACACGAGAAGGACACCGTCACCTTTTTCTAGCGCCGAGATCACGCTCATGCACTTGGCCACGTTCCTCTGCACGGACTCCACGTCGATGTCGCGGAGCGCGCTGCTCCTCCAGCGCTGGAAGAGCGCCCGCCACTCCTCCTGGGAAGCCCACAGGATCCTCCTCAGGGTCAAGTCCAGCTCGATGTCGGAGATCTCCGACCGCGCCACCTGCGTGATCTCCTCCACGCTGAGGGAATGCATGTGGGCCTGCGCGTCGCTGAAACAGTCCTGGCAGTCACAGCACAGCTGGACTTTGTTAGCTAAGCCGGCAGCTTCCCGGGAGAGAGTCTGAATCATTTCCATCGCTGCGGACGCTCTGGTCCCAGCAGATAAGAGAACAGGAGTCCTTATCTGGAACACAACAGGGAGACACTCTGAGGTCACACCCTCAGACAGCATTGCAGCATGCAGTCTGTGCCACCACACGTCTGCAACCGTCCTCTAAAAGGATTGTCTTCAGGCCCTGGCCAGTTTGGCTCAGCGGTTAGAGCGTCGGCCTGTGGTCCGGAGAGACCCGGGTTCGGTTCCCGCTAAGGGCACGTACTTCGGTTGCAGTTTGTCCCCGGCCCTGGTTGGTCGTGCGGGTGGCAGCCACTCGATGTGTCCCTTGACGTCGATGTTTCTCACTCTCTCTCCCTTCCTCTCTCTCCCTCCCACTCTATCTGTACAAAAAATGGAAAAATATCCTCGGGTGAGGATAAAAAATAAATAAATAAATAAATAAATAAATAAATAAATAAATAAATAAATGGATTGTCTTCAGTGTATAATTACTTGTGTTTATGATGATTCATTTTATTTAACTATCATCATCAGATCTATAACTTGCTTGTATCTTCTCTATTTCAGGCACTGTGGTGAGTAACCTTGCTTACTAAGCCAGACGACAATCTTGAATGATAGCTAGTATTTTTCATAATTTTTCAAGGAAATTCTGAGGTTATAAATGATTTTTCTATCATCCGATGGTACACGGGGAGGTTCCAGGGTATGGCTCGCATTTCTTTTTTCTGATTCTGTTCATTACTCTTATGATGCTTGTCATATATTGCCTTGTGTGTTATTACACGTGATATTGTGGACATTTGCAGTGATGATATCCAAAGTGGGATATAAGTAAAATTCTGCTCTGATTTTCCCTTACTAAATGACAAACTTAAGATAGGAGATAGTTTCATTGGTTTATTTTTTGTACACCGCAGACAACCTAGTACAATGAAATGCAGGTAACAGTTGTTTATTAAAAAGTTATTGAGCCCAGCCGGTGTGGCTCAGTGGTTGAGCCTTGACCCATGCACCAGGAGGTCGCTGGTTCGATACCCAATCAGGGCTTGTGCCAGGTTGTGGGCCTGGTCCCCAGTAGGGGCCAATTGATGTTCTCGCTCATCAATGTTTCTATCTCTCTCTCCCTTTCCTTTCTTCTCTCTAAAAATCAATAAAGAAAAAGAAAGTTCTTGAAGCCCTGGCTGGTTTGGCTTAGGGGTTTGAGTGTTGGCCTGTGGACCAAAGAGTCTCAGGTTGGATTCTGATCAAGGACACGTACCTCGCCCTGGCCGGTTTAGCTCAGCAGTTAGAGCTTCGGCCTGTGAACCAGAGAGACTCGGGTTCGGTTTCTGCTAAGGGCATGTACCTCGGTTGCAATTTGTCCCCGGCCCCGGTTGGAGTCGTGTGGGTGGTGATCACTCACTGTGCCTCTCTCACATTGATGTTTTTCTCTCTCTCCCTCCCCCCACCTCCCACTCTATCTGAAAATCAATGGAAAAAAAATTTCTCGGATGAGGATTAACAACAACAACTTGTTGAAAGAATAAATAAATTTAGATCCTATTACCTTATTCTTTAAAATCCAACCCATGGGAATTCGTATAACATTGTGTTACATGTAGTGTGGTCATCAAATAAACACTGATAACAAGCATAATACAGTAAGTTGTATAAACTTGATAAACCATATTTCTGTGATAATGGGTAAGGTTTAATATATTATCTGTAGCAGTGATGCCTATAAAATGGATTATAGTAAAAATTTTCCTTAGGCTTCTCCCCAGATTTCCCATTTATTAATATTTATGTTGGCAAATGAGTTATCTTGAGAGGGGAGTAAATACCTGGAGAAATGACCTTACTAACTTAAGTGGAGTGGAGGCAACGTTTTTCCAGTCCTATCAGCAGCCTTCAAATCGAGATCTTCAAAGAATGATCTCAGCCATCAGGTATATAAAGTCAGTTGTCTGCCAGGTTACACAATTGCAGTCAGATGATGGAGTGACTATGCCCCGCTCCGTATCGCCCAATGAAAACACCTGTAAAACCTGGACAGAATACATGGGGCAGCTACTGGAGGAATCTGACAGTCGAGTGAGGGCAGATTGGGGGGAAAGATGGTAATTTGAAGTGCCACCAAATCAGCAGTGAGTTTATCATTTTTTTTCTTCTGGCATAGTTACTGACACTCAGTAAATGCTCAATGAATGTTAGGTGTTCATTCTACACTCTGCCCCTCGTGACCAGGTGGTGAAGCTGGATCATTACCATTTGGCCTGGCCTACGGCCGGGAAGATCTCAGGGTTTCTTAGCCCCTTTCATTTCGTGGCTCCCCTTTGGCAGTCTGCGGAAGCTTATAGAAAAAGTCACCAGCTTCGCTGTTGTTGGTGTCTGCATTCACTCATAATTGAAGCAAATGCTAAATTTCAGTTCGAGGTTAATGAAAACAGACATGTAATTTTACTTCCCATTCAAGGTCACAAATCACCAAAATTCCGTTGGTAGATTCCAGGCTACGAATACATGGATTAAATCACTTACCTGAGAGGCCACAGAAAGAAAATCCTACCTGCTCAGGCCTACATGAGACTAAGACCTAATTAATTTTTAATGAAAACAAAAACTTACTTTGGCCTTTAAGTTACTAATGTCAGCCCGTAGACCAGTGACATATACTTCCAAGTTGTCTCTGAATTTAGCAACAGCAGCATCTTTATTCGTTTTATTTAACTTCACAGCAGTTTTTAGTTGAGCAAACTTGACAAGGAGGATTTTACGGATGGCAACTTGCTCTTCTGAAACACGGATCTGGTAAAAATTTGAAACAGAATACAGTTGCTCAACAGTTGAATATTCTCTTTCTAAGTTAGATATTTTTGTGGAAACTTCATCCAAAAATGCAAAATATTCCAAAAATTCTTCTATTTCAGTGGGATCACAGTCCAGCTTTTGCAATGATGATTCTACAACCTGAAATCATTTACATATCAATTATAATTATATAATGACTTTTCACTATTTTAGAAAACTAATTACTCTTTTTTAATATATCACACTAATTTACATAATTATAATTTTAGGAAAAATTAAGGCATCACTTAGACATTCTAAATATTTTTTAAATACTGGAATATAAATATGATCAAATCCTTTCTATTATTAACAGAAGAAACTAGAATGTATCGTGCACATAAAATAAATGCTACTAAGACACAAAAGTACTATTGTGAATAATTTTGTTTCTAAGAAATAAATGTAACAACAAAATTATGGCTGAAATGTGGACAGTGTATACCAATTGTTACCATTTAGTGGACATTTATGTGCTATGTTTCTTATATATATGATCTCATTTTGTTCTGACAGCAGTGGTTGTTAACTGTTTGTTAACTGTTAGTTTTTCTAGTTTGCACAGGAGGAAACTGACTCTCAGTGGGATTCATTAGCCAAAGATCAGAAATTTAGTGAGTTACAGAGCCATGATTCAAACTGAAATTTGATTCCAAATCCCATTTGTATTCATTCTTAAGTATATGTAGTCATTATAACATCTACGCTTTTTATAAGTATATGTATGTCATTCCAAAAAGTTTTCAAAATAATTGTATTTCTTACTCAAATCACAATTTTATCATACTTTTCTTCCATGTTTTAAGGACTCTTAATAAATGCTCATGCATCTTTTAGAGTCAATGTCAGCTTAATTTTCAATTTCATGGTCTTGAAATAATTGCTTGCATATGTCTCTAATTTTCAAACACTCAATTCTACTTAATTATAAAATAGATGTTCATGCAAAAACTGAAATACAAAAAAAAAAGTGTATAACATAGAAAATACCTATTATTCCATCACCCAGAGATAACTCCCTGATTAACCTATGTGATATTTTACTATTGTGTGTGTGTGGGTGCAGGTATGTGTGCATGCATGCATGAACAGCTCTTGCACACACATTTTTATCATAGTGCTCATATAAACAGGCTTTACAATAAGATTGGCTTGTGTTTGAATCTCAGCTCCAGTACTTAATAACTGTGTGAATCTAAGCAGGTAGCTTTACTTTAATAAATGTGGTGTCCTCATCTGTAGTTTTGAAGATCAAATAAGATAATTTAGTAATAGGTTTATAACAGTACCTGCCACTTTTAATCAAAAATGATCAAAACAGCCCTGGCTGGTTTGGCTCAGCGGTTAGAGCGTCAACCCATGGACCGGAGAGACCTGGTTCGGTTCCCGCTAAGGGCATGTACCTCAGTTGCAGTTTGTCCCCGGGCCAGGTTGGGGTCGTGTGGGTGGCAACCACTTGACGTGTCTCTCTCACATCTCTCTCTCTCTCTCCCGCTCTATCTGAAGATAAATGCAAAAATGTCCTTGGGTGAGGATTAAAAAAAAAAAAAAGATCAAAACAGAGGACTGAGTGAACACAACTATCTTGCTTTATTCTATCTCTTTGGTTGCCCCTTGGTATACTTTGTGGGCTCTTTTTCCTCCAGCAATCCCCTAAATGGTGATATTCTTCAGGTTCCTGTTCTTTTCTATTGTCACCATACCCATAGACAAGGGCATTCTCACTCACATTGATGATTTCAATGACAACGTGTACGCTGGTCATTTAAATATACATTTCCAGCCTAGACTCTCTCCTGACATGTGTGTCTGAGTGTCTCTACTTGAATATCACACAGCTGAACAAGTACTACGTTCCCTCACCCAGTGACTGGCAATCACTGCCCACGCTGTTGCTTAGCCAACAACCTGCAAGCATCAGTTCCTGTTCTTTCGCTTACCCCGTCCATTGTGTCAATCACTAAATCCCACTGATTCCATCTTTTAAATATATCTCAAATCCATACTTCTCAGACTGTTACCTCCCTGCTTCAAGCTATCACCACATCTCTCAGATTACAGATAGCTTTCCCCCTGTCTCACTTTAATCTGTTCTTCACACTGCAGCCGGAGTGGTCCTTATAAAAATTCAAAAGGCATCACGTCATAGCCCCACTTCAAACCGTGTAATGATGGTCATCAGGGGAATA